TACAACCAAAAATTCAACAGTAAAAACCTTTTTTTATGACCTCTTCTCATTGATGTCACATACACAGTAAACCTAAAATTTAAGCTTTATTGACCATTTCGTCGACTGAAAGCAGGTTCGTACCCATCCATATTTAACCGCTGGCCCTCTTAAGAGCAAAACGTTGTAGAATTTCGAAATTAGTTTACGCCCTTAACTTCCCCGTTTATTCTCCCTCAAATTATAACTTGTATTCTACTACTGTGAGAATTTCGTTGTAGAACGTTCAGGCGGTCACAGTTGTACGAAGTGATTCTCCTCAACAAAGCAATCCCTCTGCTTAGTCTAAAGATCACATGATCAATAGGTGAGTCACCATGATCGTGGGGTAGGTACTCCAATGAAGGATCTTCATAATTATGTTTGCTAAATCAATCACTCAGCACGTCGATAACAGTCACAACTGCATGAACACATACGCAGAGCAGCAACAATCTGATGTCGATGATGAAGAACACAAGGTAGATATTTTACAAAATGGAAAATAGAAAGGTTTCTTCATGGAACAACGAACAGCACTTGTCAAGTTACCGTAGCTGAGTTTATAAACCTGGCAAAATGTTGGGGGTTTCATTTCCGGGTGTTGAAACTCAGGGTCTGTTTACCAGTTGAATTGCTCATTTAAAGGTGTCTCTCAGTGTTAGCTGTTGTTGTGGCGAACAATATATATTGAAACACTGGAATCTCTCTTTCTTGAGACTGACAAGAAATTTAGTTGTAACGCAAAAAAGTGAATGTTTCCCTATAGTGCTGATTATTAGTTCCATGAAATGTCAATGTTGCCTTGATAACTTTGTATTATATTAATTTATTCATTTAATTGATCTCATTCTGATTTGGATTGACTTTGAATAATAATTAAAGTCGTGCACCTTAATTTCTATGAATTCACATCATTGTTTCCCCGCCTTGTTAAATGCTGGTTGTTCGAAACATATCCCTTTTGTTTTGGCCAATTGTTTATTCTTCCCCATTTTAATTTGCATTTGCTGCCTTGAATGAAATCAGTGGCGTCACCAGACTTTTCAGTCTGGGGGGGGGGGGGGCACAGGGGGGCACCAGCATTTGATGGGGGGGGGGGGGCACTTAGGTGGGTAGGGATCGCCGTCCTGGGGGAGGGGTCTAAGGAAAATTTTCGCATACAGAGGATGGGCTAGATGCAAAATGGTGCCACATTTGATGCTCATTTGAAGAAAATACGGATTACTGTGCTTCTTTGTCCTTATGAAAAACCAACTCAGATGATGGGAGTTGAATATAACAAAATATATATATATTTTTTTACCAACCCAAATCTCAGATGGGGGGGGGGGCACTCGGGGGGCACTAGGTTTCCCAGGGTGGGCCCCCTGCCCCCCCCCGTGCCCCCCCTGCCCCCCCCCCCCCTGGCGACGCCACTGAATGAAATACTGAACTTTTAGTTTGGTGTGTCCACACGTAACAATCTACATCTACGATGGTTCTCATCAAAGCCTGTTCGGCATCCAAATGAGGGACTGGTGTGTGGTGCTTCCAACAGTGCACGCTTATAATAATGTGCTTTGGTTGTGCTTTCTTACAAGTGCAATTTGGATTGGTGCCAGTGAAAAAGACATTAACATTGCTAACTGATGGCCACTTGAACTGCTCCATAGTGGGCAGCTCAATGGTTTTCTGAAGTGCATACCAGTCTCTGACTACAGTTAGGCTATATCAACATGATATCTTCAAATTCTCAATAATTGATATTTAGGGATATCATTTTCTGACATGGGGTCCATATATATTTACTTAATTGCCGCTTTTTGTAAGGTTTTTCAATGACCAACGATCAAGATTTCTATTATCCATAACCATTGCACTCGTCTGGCAGGTCATGTCCTACATAATATTGCTCTTACGTGTATGCACGCACATGGGGTGCACAAGCCCCGCCAGACGGGCCAGGCAGCGCAGAAGTGATTTCGGCTTGAGGGTCGAACGCTCGTCGTAGAAAATGCAGGGTGGGGGGGGGGGGTGGGGGAGGGGATACCAATACATTTTTTGGGGGGTGGGGGACGCATCACGAAATCCTGAAAATCCCAGCAAATGCAGATAAATCTAACCATTCCATTTTTCACGTTGTGAATATAATGGTGCATTTTGACCAAGTTGAGAATGGAGCATTGTCCCAAGATGAGAAATAACCAAGTCCAATCACAATATATAACACATAATAACGTTATTCTTTGTTTACATTTGCGTTTATGGGAGCCTACTTGCTGGGGACGAGTGGCTCTCGTCCCCATGAACAGCCATTCGTCCCCATGAACCTACTAGGCTTCCCTACATAGGAAAATTACGCTCATGAAAACAAAGCATGACGTCATTATGACTTGGATCTATTAAGTGACAGTACATACGGTTATCGTGAGCTGAGAAAACTGCCACACTTCCCCCAAAATACACAGGATTCAAATAATGGCGCACTGGCAGCTTGATGTGTGTGGTGTATTATGATTGTATAACTCTTGACACGACGCAATGGAAATTTCCATGTATGTAGTTCGCTTGTTTACTACGCCAAAGTCCACTCAATAAAGGTGTACTTAAAATACATTGTTGTACACATAATAAACCTGAAACTCTTCATCATATGTGTTAAGAGACAACGGGGTGCACGAATAAAAACTACCATTTGCCTTTACTACCAATTCTTAAGCATTTACTCGCATATCTGTATGAATACAAATGAAGCAAAAACTTTAATTGAAGGAGCATTTGCTAAAATCTGAAAGTATTGACTTTTTAACTTTTAGCATTTGCTGGACTTTAATCGATTGATTCATTTCGTATGAAAATACAAGAGTGAGTGCGTCGGATTTGAAGTAGGCCTATTTACTGGTCAGTTAGTTTGGTTCGGGGATACATTGTAAATAATGAAGCAAGTACTTCTGCGCAAACAATTATTGGTGCATTTATGAAAGATTACTGTAAAATTACAACGGGAATCGCACCGAGTCCTGATGCAAGGCGAGTACTATGTTCTACATTAAAATTCCACGTCTAATCGAATCGCTAACCCCCCCCCTCTCATTTGTAGATCTTTATGTTGACTGGGTCCTTTTACTGATTGTGCTTCTTTTGAGTTTGTAAACAACTTTAGAACTTGACGAGCAGTCTCGACATACTTTGACGCTACATGACGCTCTTTTGTTCTTATCAATATATTCACATTTCAAAAAGTCATAAGGTTAAGGTAATTCAAAAATCCTCAAAATTTCTCTTTGGTTTAATAACTAAAAAAAACCTTTTAAAAGACACTTCCTGGGCAAACGGAATATTCCGAATTTTTTTTTGTCGGGATGGGGATGCACCTGCAGTTATGGGGGCCACTTGAAATGTATGGGAGCCACGTGCCCTCCCCCCCCCCCCCCGGCAGTAAGCGCTGCTGCTGGGACTGAATTCGAAGTCCAGGTTAGCATCTTTGTAAAGATTCAAAGCATTTACTGATCGACCCACTCTGCGACCAGGGCTTAGGGTGCCGCCTTGTTCCTCCCTTTTATGAGGCTTGGCCCTGAGGTTATATGGATGGACACTGGACAGGGAAGAAGTGGTGGGCTGGAACCGCCGAGATCCCAGAAAAGTCGACACATGGGAGTCGGCAATGTGCTCATTGAGTTGAGTTGTTAAGTGCGACCCCTGAATGCTTGGTCAACACCACATAACTTTCAGGTTTATTAAAAACATTTTTTTTTCAAACACAGAAGTATTCATTCACGGAGAATAGTAATTATTTACATCTTAACGTATTTTTTCAGGGCAGATACAAAATACGGTCTCACCAGTATAATACAAAATGTAACAAGATTCAGTGAAACCGTCACTTTGTTGGAAGGAATTAAAACTTATATAGAGGTCAAGAAATTTGCAACAATGCGTACCTTTACATAATACTACATGTATGTAATCCCATACGATTACCTTTACTTAGACTCCATAATTATATTCTTCTACTTAAAATTAATTGATTCCATTCCTTTTTACTTTCAGTTAGTTTGTTTTATGTATATAATTGCAAAACTATCAACTATAGTTTTGGATATTTACAATAGAAATTACCAAAAAAAGATTACGATTAATGTTGTTATTGAATTATCTACATGTAAAAAAATAATGTATAGCAAAAGTCTAAGGGTTTGCACGCTATTTAGTCTAGGGCTCTACAGGTTCCTTTTGGCCTTTTAATGGAATTTTACACAATAGAAATCAATAGAAACAATCAACCTTTTCGTCCAAATAACATCTGCATTAAGATATCAAACTGATTAGCCTACCGACATAAAGAGCACATTATACACTTTCCACTGCACATGAAAACTAAAGAATAAAAACGTGTCTTAAAGACATTATTAAAACTAATACAAATGAATAAGGAATGTACAACAAAACAATATAGTACAAATGTTGCTGATATAATATGTGCCCTGTCACATTATACCGACAGACAACCGCCGGGCAACCCAAGCATTAAGTTTTTTTGCACGTTTTTTGGCCCGCATTAAACAGTATCAACAATTTTAAACCATTCATATTGCAAAAGATACACATGCAGTGCAGAAGAAAACCGTTTACAAAAATGTGTCATCACGTGACGGGGAAACCTGTATTAAACGCAATTCTTGGTATTCATCCCCCCCCAAAAAAGGCAATGGCAATATACAAGCCAGATGGCGAATGTAAAAAAGCGAGGAAGAAGGTATGCAATTTTTCTTTTTATTTTTTTTTCTTTTTTTTTCTTTTTTTTTCTTTACAACGAATGATTGACGACGCCATTTTTAAACTATGGGTTGCAGACCATTTCCATTGTCCCCAGTGATATGTGCCACCGGTTCAGAAATTGTGGAAAAATACTCACAACTCTCCAAGGTGTTCAAGACGTACATCAAATTAAAGCTTATTTCATCATCTTTCATTTTCTTTTAAAATTTTTTTGGGGGTAATCTGATTACTTTTAGAAGAAATTTCCATCCGAAGATGATCACCCCTTAAAAAAGTCCTGAAGCCCATCGTCATTTTTAAAAACGGCATTTACCCTCCTTTGCAAAATAGAGCGCTTTTAGGGCCCAAATTTCATCCAAATTTCACAAAATCTGGTTTGAAAATGCAGTGTATTTTGCAGGCTATTATACGAAAGAATTACTTAGAATCAAAACTAATATCTCACAAGTTTTTAGAACAATTGGGAATCTGTGAGGAAAATCAGTATCTCACAAAGAGGGATTTCCCAAATACCGTCAATTTTATATCGACATTTCCATATGATTACGTACGATTGGCTTGTTTCTTTAAGTTACACACATGTCCATTCTCTCCTTTGAGTGGGATAGTGACTTCGGAGTCCAAACACGTCTCTTGGGGTTCTCCCTTAGATCCTGCAAAATATAAAGGTTCGTGATTACTTTTTAAGCGTTTTGTAATTTGTTCAAATTAACGCATCATTAAGTTCATGGTGGGAAGTTCTGAAATATTCCGAGTTTTGGAAATTTGAAATGTGTCAATTTAGCTTGCATTAACTATTTAGCTTGCATTAACTCTTTATTTCAGAAAGGCTTGGATTGTCTCCCACGATCTGTGTATATCCCCCTTAAACCATGCAGCACTGTGAAAACTGGAATCATTCTTTCCAGGTTACGAAAGGAATACGTAAAAGCTTTTTGCCTGTTGTCAACTTCTCATACCTTTATTTCCCCTGACCCTCGTCTCGTTCTGCAACTATTAAGTAAAAGAGAGAATTGCAAAAGTAATTAATTGCGTTCAGTGATCCTGGGTTATACCATAGCGAGCTCCTTTATAATTCAGATAAGTTGGTGTACTGTTATATCCCCTTTAGGTTTAAACTTCTAAATTTGAAAGCAAAAAATACGTCGATTATCTCAAACAAAACTGCTAACGTATGCCTGCACCATGAACATATGTACTACCGTATTCTTAAACACGTGTTTACAGGCCTCGTTTTTGGTGTGTGGACCTTTCTTATCGTGTCAGTTCCAACAAAAGCACTGTTAATCTTGCACAATCTTCCTTTCTGAAAAAAGATTGTTGTTTAAATGATTCGTTGTTTTAACTAAACCGTAAATACCTCATGCAGAATGAATTTCCGACGCCTTGTGTTTGGAACCATTACTGACTTCACAACGAGCACAGTGTTACTTATAATTTATATCATTGCCGCAGAAGCGTGCTGGGGTATTAGGCTGTCTAGAAATACTAGAATACTAAAGTGTTTGCGTACCTCGATGTCATTCTTTTGTCCAGGTTTCCTCATCGATATCTGAAACGACAATGACAATATACCACAGAATGTAATATGTCTCCGTAAACAATATAACGTACAAAACAACTTAGCTCTTTTAATGTTTTTGAATTCCTTGGTCTGCTTTTTTATTTTTATACTGTCTTGATTTTTGTTTAACTATACGTAACTATAACTAATCAGCGGCCATCATTAACAAGACAGAGAGAGAAGATCCGGAGCATCATTCCTGTATCATGCCTCGACACCTTGTTAAATGCGCAAACTCAACCATGCTGGTTTGATACCCAAGCTGTACTTATAGCAATTCAGAAAAACGTTTAGTAAATTTATCCTACTTCTGTGCATATTAAGACAACATTTGTGCAAGGAGATGGATATTGGCTACAAACAATGTATTTCATAATTGATTAATTGCGAGTGTCCACAAAATTTTAAAAAAAAGTTCTTCTGTGATTGGGCGCATGCCCCCAATTTACCTTGCAGACAGCAATAACCAAACCAACGACGACAGCCAATGACAGGCACAAAGCAACTGTGAGCCCAATCACAGCATTTTGAGAGCAATACGGAGTGTCTTCTACTGTATAATTAAAGCCCAACTCAGCCATCGCCGGTACAGCTGCGGTAGGTTGAATTGATTTAAAATCTGGAAATAATTTTTGGAAATTCGTTAAAAAAATTATTATGAATCGATTCGTTTGATGACAGACTTTGTAAGTTTGCGATTTACCGTCAAATGGAATAACTTACTGTCAATTAGCATAATGTAAAGGCAACCATGATAGTTGTAGTGCAACCTCTTTTGACAGCACAATTATAGTACTATTATTGCTTGTTCATTGCTCTTGTACTTATTAAGCAAAGGTAACCATGTCAAACTAAATAATGTTGACATCGAATGTGTACAATAATAGTGGACGAAAAATCCGACAAACAAAATTACTATCATCAAAGTATGAATCAATAAAACATTGTTTTTATCTCAAATAAAGGCTAGGCCAATTAGGGGAGTCAGGTTGGCGAAGCGGTACTTTCCTCGCCTTCCACCACTGTGACCCGGGTTCGAATCCCGCCTGGGCCAATATGTGGATTGGGTTTTCAGTCCCTGCCTGATTCCGTGGGTTTTCCTCAGAATATTCTTCTTTGCTTTTCCTCCCACCTCTAAAACTGTAACTTCTTCCCATTGTCTTCTCTCCACAGGTTTCTTCAGGCTTGCGAGCTACAGTGCCTAGGCCGCTTTTGAGGAATCCTTGGTTTCATTACCAGAAATGATTAATAATAATAATAATAATAATATCCAGGAACAGCATATTTAAATAATTATAACAAAAATTATTTAAAATGGCGTCGAATGTGATCGCTATGCAGGTGATTTCGGGTCATATCTGCATGACCCGGTACCCAGTGCTACCCTACAAAGCAATCAATATCCATGCTCACGTGTTGTTTGAAGGGTATAGAAAGCTGTCACCGTCACGTGGCTACCATTCCTGGAGCTCAGAGCCTCCCCGTAGGCTTGACAGCTGTACAACGTGTCCACTTTACTCGAAACAACTGGGATCGATGCTGAAGTGGTGAAGGTGTTCACCGAATACGCGCCTAAAACACACCGCAAAGACCAAAGCTGTTATTTTTTCTCTTGCTGAAATCAGAATTAAGCCAAGTACATGCATTTGCTAAGCATGATGGATATGAATTACGTAGGCTACAGAAAATACTTTCTTGTGAGAGCATGTGACAAGCCAAAGTGTTGTATGGTCGTTTTGGTTGGATTTACCTGTTGAAATAAGATTATGAGAATCCTTCTTCCCTTAATCAGTTCCATGAAAAGTAAGTTAAATGAAAAGAGATCGTTAAGCCTGGGACAAAATAAGAAATTACCCAGTGCAAAGGTGTTTCAATTCAAAGACATGCTGCCAGAATTCATAGCCGGCTTATGTTAATTCCCATCTTATGGGGGAGTGCGGCACCTGAGATTCAGTAACCCTGTATTTACTCGGTTTTACGGTGAACCTATCGCTGATGAGTTGTGTGTCGCCGTCACTATACTCAAGCAGCCATCGGAGAGCCACGGCAGGCTTGGCATCCCGTACGATGCAGGTCAACCTTCGTTTTTTTATGTCGTTCGGTAACTCTGCCTTGCACGCAGTCTCGGAGATGCGTTGAGTGCATTGGGTCACGTCGGGAAACGGCTCTTTGGGAGATACTTCACAATAAATCAACGAAAACATTTTTCAAAAAATTAGGATACGAGGCTTCAAAGCAAAACTATTTTCAACCAACAACTATACCGCTGTCATAAAAAGCAGTCACATGAAAAACGTTCAATGGTATTCAGTGGCATCAGAAAACTGCTAGTTCTTAAAAAAAAAAAAATGACTACAATTCAGATAAAAGTTTTCAGACTTCCTGGTTTTTTTTTATTTTTTATTAATCTTTACTTTTTTGATGTTTTTTTGTGTGCAAACACTTACAGAAAAGGGGACAATAAACATCAACGGGTTACAAGAGCCGTCAGATCAATATGGAAAAATCGATCACTATTATTTGAATTGAAATAAATTGAAAGAAAACTGTGTTGGAAAAAGCATTGCTTTTCTCCAACGCATGAAATACAATTATTTACTAATCACCAACCAACTCACCTTTGACGCGCATAGTCACGTGCCCATCAACTAGCATTCTTAACCGCGGTTTGACCCTACAATAGTAGGTCCCTTCATCTGAGTCGGTCACATTCTCAACAACCAGAGAGAAGTTTCCGTTGATGTCATACACGCCCTCTGGGATGCCGTTTTGTGGAGCGACGTTCCCTAGGAAGTAGGAGATCAAGATGTCTTCATCTCGTAGTCTGGGGAAGTACCAGTACATGACTTCGATCTGATCCAGCGGGATTTGTCCGGATGCGACGAGAGGGCAGGACAGGATGCCAGGGTTGCCTCGCTCCAGGAAGATGGTTCCATCCTCTTTACTTCTTGCTTGGATGCGAATAACCATCACAGAAACGACTACTACCGTAGCCTTGGTCAAGGCGTTTGTTATTATTCGTCCGTACGGTATTCGGCGGCATATCCTCGCATATCCTCCTGACTGATCGAGTGGAGTCGAGTGCATGTAAAAATACAGCGCGAACAGCGACCTCGTGCAGCCACTATTTTATGCAAATCATTTGGATCTAGACTAACGCTTTAGTCCAATCGTCCATGTAAGGTTTTGGGGGTGGTGCTCATTATGCTAATTACTTAAGCTGACCTTAAAAGTCGTTTTCTGATTGGTCGAGCGTTGCGTGGAAACCTGCAAATAGTTAGCGCGCGGTGAAAGGTCATATAGAGATAACGTGGACATGTACTGTACATGCATAATGCACAACAAAGTGTTTCTGACACATCCGCAAAAGACGAATAGCTGCACTTGTAATAATTTGATGGACGTCGGGATTTACCAAGGTTGTGATTGGACACTCCACATATTAGGCCCGCCCACACAAATTTGTATTTGCATAATTATGAGATCGTGCACTAGAAATATAGCGCAAAATAAAGGAAAACATAAGCTTTCGCCGACGATTGGGCCAAGGCGTTCGATCAGATCCAAATGATTTGCATATAATAGTGGCCGCATGGTGTCGCTGTTCGCACTGTATTTTTTACACGCACTGCATATCGAGGATTTGCCGCCGAATACCGTACGGATGGATTAACACAAACGCCTTGAGCAAGGCTACTACCACCTGGAAAGAGTACCAATGGATCATATTACAAAACAATTAGTCATCAAATTCTAGAGAATCATGATGGTGGAAAATTAACGGAACAATATGTTTAAAGCAAATGAGTACATGTTGTAATATATTACATGTACATTTAAATATTGTTGTTATCCAGCACAACTCGTACAGGGCATGCAGTTTTGGAACACGTTATTTCATCCCATAAGACCCCCATTTGACTGAAAAGGTTAGAAAAAGGAAGTTTAATTGTATGGCGGCACTCCCAGATTGTTGCATGTTTGTAACACATTTTCAATCTAGTTCTAGTTTAGTTTTGCACTTAAGCGATAGAGCAACTGCACTATAGTTTTAAGGTTCAGACAAATACAAATGAACTCCTTGACGGGTTTCAAATACTATTTGTGCACATGAGCTTTAAGGAAACGTTTGATCCTTGTGCTTTAAAATTATTCTAATATAAAATGAAAACTAACAAAACTTTTGTACGAGATCAATTTGCGGCTAGCAGAGAGGTTTTTTTAAGGGGGGCTGAGTCCTATTCTATCTCTGTCCAGTTGCTTGACTAAGGCCGGGGAGGGGCCTGGGGCAGGATCGAGTCCTCTTCCTCTCCCTCCCCCTCCCCTGTTAAAATAAACTTTTTATAGCATTGCAAACCAACACCACTGTCTCGGTTGTAGACCTCATGCATAGAGCTTAAGGTGGAGTAAGAGCAGGGTGACCGTTTTAGCCGATTTTCGGCTAACTTTGACAGTTTTTTAGTTAAAAAACGAGTTTGACAGAAAATTTGACAGAATGGACTTTTTTTGGCAGATTTCTGGCATAATTCTTCAAACATGGATATTTGACAGAAAACAGCAAATTTGAAGACAAATGATACATTTGTTCAAAAATGCTTCAATCCTTTTAAACAATTCCTTGCATAAAGGGACAGGTTGGCTGGTCTAGGCGCTGAGGTTTACTGGGAATTAACCGGACTTTGTCGTGAGGCAACCGCGTTTAGCCTGAAATTTAAGCAATTTCATAACATCTTTACGTTGGTATAGATTGTTTGTAAAGTAATTTGAACCTTAATTAAGGCAAAACTACAAACATCTACATGTGATTATAAGTGTTTCTAGTGCATTTCGAGTAATTCTGGGGAATTTGGCAGATTTTAGATGAATCTGACAGATTGTTGAATTGCATTTAGCAGAATTTGGACGTGACCTTACGGTCACCCTGAGTAAGAGGGCAACGGTTTTGTATCGCTTGCATTGGCATGAGTAATTCGTTTGTGTGTTTATTGTAACAACACTACTAGAACACCCTCTGAGATATACCTAAAACCGAAACATCTATTGCATCCATTTCGCTGCTCTGGGTCAAAGCAACTCCTGACGATACGTTCTCTCCACAACAATGTTCATACCGTTGAAAAAAAGGACCTGACATACAGGGTGAGTCAAAATAGCGGAACCCAAACCCCAAAATTATATTTCATATTTAAAAATATTTATAGCACCAAAAATAATAATGACTGGAAAGCCCATTTTATAAGCTACTTCTAGATGAAATTCTGAAATTGCTTAATCTGTTCAAAGAATATTACCATTTAAACACACTGACCCTAAAACCTCTTTCGTCCAAAAATGCGATTTCAAGAATCGTCGTCACTATTGTCTTCAAACATCACCAGCGATTAAACCTCAACCTTACCATGGTTGTTAATAAAGGTATTGTGTACTACCGTTGTTGACAGTTGTTAAAAAAAGCATTTATTCTGTGCCATTTTCTTTGTTATTTCTAAAAGTCAGAATACATAAGGTTTTTTTTGGGGGGGGGGATGAAACAGGTTTTAGGGTCATTGCGTTGAAATGGTGATATTCTTTGCACGGAATGAGCAATTTCAGTATTTTTTTTTCATCTAAAAGTAGCTAGTTATGGAATTAGCTTGAAAGTCATTATTATTTTTGGTGCTATTTATTTTTTTAAATACGAAATATAATTTTGGGGGTTTGGGTTCCGCTTTTTTTACTCACCCTGTACAAACCACTGATACAAACGGAATTACCCTATTTGTTTAAAAAATGCGATTCAAATTTCGAGTGCAAAACATAACTTGAGAATGCGCACATTCGTATGGCTAGCTGACTGAAGTGAGCAATGGATGCCATTTACCTAGAACCATCCACAGGTTTGCTTTGTGTGCTTGGATCATCAGTGTTGGAAAGCATCACTGCTGCAGAAAGGGGAAAAATAATACTTCAAATAAGGCAACGATAATTTGCAGATTGTGTTCTTGTTGAAAGCTACTACAAAAAATGGTACCAGCCCCCCCCCCCCCCTTTCCAAAAAGAAAATACCTGCGCCTCAATATTCCAGCATGGACGTGCAAGTGCCCTTTTCAAAAAAATGTTTACCCCCTCCCCCAATAAAAATTACCTTGCTTCGCCCATGGCGCAGCATTTACACAGCCTAGGGCTTTATAATTTTTTATTTTTTTTTAAGTTGTAGACGGTTATCATTAGAAAGATAAATGAGGAATGTTTCAAATAATGCATCACACATTACATTACGATCTGTGAAAGGTATACAAGTAGTCCGTGCTACGGGGGGTCTTTGTGCACGCCCTCCCCTTCCCTCCCCCTCCCCCGCCATAATCCTCAGCGGCTGTATTTTTTTCTGTAATCCTTTGCACATCCTCGAAAGCCAAAAAAGATGGATGATATACAGTGAAAATTTTGGAATGCACTCTCTCTCGGCAGGTCACTTATTGGAACCCCCTCTGATTGAGCTACATCGATGCATTTTCTTACAGCACTAGACCCGGACAAGGAAACAAACAAAAACAACCGAGAGAGTGCATCCCTAAATATTCACTGTTAACACTTTTTTTAGGGGGGGGGGGGGACAAAATTATATACCAATTCAGGATTGTAAAAAAATGCATGGGGTGGAGGGTTCTGAGTGTGCACGTTAGTAGTAGCTTTGGTCAAGGCGTTCGTCGATTATGTGTATCCTCATGGTCACTCAACGCGCAATGCAATTTACGAAGTGCAAACAGCGACCTCACGCATCTACAGTATGCAAATCAGTTGGTGAAGAACGAACGCCTGGCTTGGCACAGCGGATCGCACAATCGTGTGTTTTTTTCAGTTCAACTCCCCCCCCCCCAAAAAAAAAAAAACAGAAACAAAATCCAATTACAGTACAGTATTTATGGGAGTATAGCCATTATTGTTTCATTACTTTTATATATTTCATTTCAGAATTTCAAAGAGAAAGTTAAGATAAATAACAGTGAAATCATATGTAAATAATGTTGAAAAAATATATTCAAGGAGTTGCTTCGCCGTGACGGAAGGCGGGAAGACATTCAGCGAACCCTTACATACCAGGGAATCCCCCCCCCCCCCAAAAAAAAAAACCCTGAAAGCGCGCTCATTCACAGCTTAAAAAAAATACATCGCAAATATCTATACATATTTGGAGAGATTAACTTTTCAACAACAAAATCTTTTCAATCGGGTAAAAAAAAAAAAATTCATCGGTTTGCCCTTGCGGTATGCTATACACAACACGAACGGCACATCCGCACGTGGTTTGTTTATTATAGCCAATCACGGGTACTCTTTTAGTAGATTTTTGGCAAATAAAGCGATTATGGCAAAAATGAATATTTTAGCGGAATTCTGCAAAATTGGTGGTCCTGGCAGAAATAAAAATATAGCAGATTTGTTTTGAAATAGTTTCAATCACTTCAAACCAACACTTGGATAGCGTTGAGGTTCCCTGACGTGTACGACTACACAGTAAAACACTATAGACATTGGAAGCCAGGCTAGATACGCGTTTGTTTTTTTATTAAATTGTTATTTTATTCAATTTTTTTAAAGGACATTTTGTGATTTTTTAAAAGCAAATTTTATAAGATAATGCATGTGAGAATAGTGTTTATAATGTGTTTCGTGTAAATCTGGTCGATTTAGCACATTTGTGTTAAATCTAGCAGAATTTTGAAATGCCTCTGGCAGAATTTCACGATTTTTATCTAATCACACTGTATCCAATTTCTATCCAACAATTCATTGCGCGCCCGAGACTTTGAAGTGGCTGAAGAGTGGCAAATTAAGAGACACATTTCCCCAAAAGAGCCATTGAATGTCCTTATTTTTGGTGATGAGTGCATATCATATGTTTGCGCGCTCCTTTTCAACACACCACACAACCGCTCGAAACATCCCCATTGGAACGATCTATGGAATCTGCTGGGTAGTTTCAGTTTTTATGTCATTAGGTCTACTAACAAACGCGGTAAAAGTTTCGTTCTTAATCGAGTATTATGAAGAATATATAATATGCTTTCGATTAATGTGAATTTTATTTAAAAAAAAGTCGATTACATTTCGTCATTTTGATAAACTTCACGACTCTCTTCTGATTTTGTTAAAGTTTGTGTGTAAAATTGTCGTTTTTTTCCGCTTAGTTTGTAGTACTGACCATCTTCAAATCGCCATAATTTACGCTAGCGCCCTCCTTTGACTTTCTTAATACACATCACCGTCCAAAACGAGACAAAGAATTTCCATCCAATAAAGGAAGCTCTTCGGGGTGCAGTGCACTAATTCAAGTGAGAATTTCTACGCGAGGTCATTAGGCCAAACAAAATAAGTTTTTTTGCCTCAAATGTCGGCTGATGACTGCAAATGGTGCCCGACTAGACTTAGTGCAAATACATGGGAGTCCAGAGAAGCCACATAAAGCTTATTCTCGATCATAACCCCATCTAAAAACACGTTAAAATTGTGCAGCAGCAGGATTCCAGTCAAACCAGTGAATTTGGCGGTTTTGAGACATCATCTTTCATTGGGAAAAAAACGTTTTCATTTTGCCGACGCGCATGGCTACGGCGACGCGCGCGCATACCAGAAACCGGAGACTTTTCTTTTTGGCCTTAGCATAAAAAAGTGCCCGATCAACTTGTTTTGAAAACGGAGACCGTTTGGCTTTCAAAAAGGTGGAATTGTGTAAATGTAGCCAAGGATCAACTCCCTGGTTTTGGGGCTTCCATCTGAAGGCAGGCTTGATAAAAGTGCGGTTGAAAGATGGGTTTTATTTGAAAAGTGAAAGGATGCCACTTGTAAAATGGCTACATGCAGCCTTGGGAACTACCACTTTTTGGGAGGTGATTTTTTTTTTTGGTGCGAATCTTTAAAAATGCAATTGGCTAGTTTACCCAAAATTGAAAAGAAATGACAAGATGAAGGACCAGACAATAATTTGTGGGATTTGGGGATTTAAATGGATTCTCACTTAAAAACTCTCATGCGGGGGGGGGGGGGGGGGGGGGGAACCATTGAAGACACGAGTCTGCTAATCAAAACCATCAATGACTCTGAAACATTTCCTCCCCACCCTTAGAGATATTTTCTTTTCAAGACAACCACGCCCACCCCCAAAAAGGAAGTAATTATCCAAATAATAAACAAAATCACAGAAAACAAGCAAACAAAATAAAAATTCTCTCATGCGCTCACCCAACAACCGATACACCCATACCCACGTATATTTTGCAAAAACAGAACTTTTTTAAATGAAAGACATTGCAGATTCTGTAGGCCTATGTGTGCTGGTTTAAAACTGTACAAAATGCTATAGACTGCAGGCCTTGAACATTTAACCCCATAAACGGCCAGGGTATCAATTTGTTTCCATTTTTTTCCTCCAATAAATTGACGTCTTTGATTCATTCTTGAAATTTTTTAGTATGCATTTTGTGTCAGGTAATTAAAATTCGATATCTTTATAGGGTGCAGTGCACTAATTCAAGTGAGAATTTCTACGCGAGGTCATTAGCATATAAAGTTCCCCCCACAACTTCTTTTGAAAACGGAGACTATTTGGCTTTAAAATCGGTGGAATTGTGTAAATATAGTGTAAACTCCCTGGTTTTGGGGCTTCCATCTGAGGGCAGGCTTGATAAAAATACGGGTTAAAAGATGATTCCTATTTGCCTGAAAAAGTGGAAGGATGTCACTTGCAAACTGGCTACATGCAGCCTTGGGAACTACCACTTTTTGGGAGATGATTTTCTTTTGGTGTGAATACTTTAAAAATATAATTGGCTATAGTCTACCCAAAATTGAAAAGAAATGAAAAGATGAGAAAAAACAGTGATGTCGACTTGCATGTTATTTGGCCATGAACTTTGTTGATTTTACACTGTTATCAATGGGGCTTGAATTAGTTCAGCGCACCCTGGCCTATGAGCCGTGGGAAACCAGTACACAATGACACACTGGGTTAATCTGCTACGTTCGAACACATACACAACACACCTTATCATTAACTGCAGGGGACGTTCCATTTTAAGTAGGGTGAAATGTTGCTGTTTGAAAAACGTGTCAATACAAGTCTTTTTGCTGCTATTATAACACTGTTACATAAGCAGTATTTTCACTACTAACTCAGGCTTGATTTCAAAAATAGAAGTCTTGAAATAATAAGTGTGGGTGGATTGATAAAACAAGCATGAACTTCAAAATAATAATGTTTGGCCCCACACAGCTGCATACTTGCTGGACTAAGCTACCCCTATTTACCAAAGTAGTACAGCACGTTCAGACTGCACTGGTCTTCGGAAGTTGTGTGTACACAATGATCAAAGCTAGTGCACTGCAGTGCACAGGAGTGTTCAAAGTAGCGTTTCTACTGTGCGAAGGAATTGATATGATATGCTTGGGTATTAAAAATCCCGGTACAAACCGTTATTTCGTTTTACCGTTTTGGATTTCCTCAAAAGCAAAAACAGTAAACAAACCATTGACTATTTTGTCGTTTTACAGTTTTGTAACTTTTTCAGTCAACTTCAAGGAAAATTCCAAAGTTCAGGTCAGGCCAGGGCAAGGTTAAGATTTACGATTAATAGTTATGTGCATGACAGCTTAAACTCAGAGGGTAAGGACAATTCAGATTTAATGTTCTGTCAACTTTGAACATGACCTTCCTACTGGTCGCGTTCAGGGTGCAGAGTTTAGTTTCATTGTTTTAAAGCTCTGATGTACTTACTTAGTAGCTCCCCTAGGGAAAAAGAAATAACTATGATTTTAGTTCCAGTTTAGATGCCCCCCTCCCTTTCTTGGTGGTGCCTAGTGTGTCCCCCTGTTTGTTTATTTCAGCCCATTAACACGTTCCCCATATACAATCTGCCACAATTAAAGGGAATGTACATCATTGGCTTTTGCTGTAATTTTCAGAAATGAACTATTTTGAGGGGTTAGTATAACAGATCAAAATATTGTTACACTGACATGTTTGAAGTTTTGTGTTCGAAAATACTGAAAAAAAAACAAGAAAACAGAAAATGTTCAAGTAGTCTGGTTCCCTGAATCCACTAAAGATGAAATGGATCTATTTATAGACGCCGGAAAATTGTAAGGTAATGGAATCAGTCTAACTGGCCTTCACCCGTTCAAGAAAATGTAACCAATATAGTAAACGAAATTTGGACTGAAAAAAAATTGGTAAATTTGGAGCAGTAGTTAAAAAATAGTTAGGGTTTTCCAACGGTGGTCGGAAAGTTATACAAAAATATCACTTTTCTTGAAAATGACTTCACACCAGGTGCCATGATTTTACAGGATGCTTAGACTGTCATTTACCAACATCCTAGTAAGGTATTTCGTTAAAAAAATGGTAGTTTTGTTTTTCGATGTTTGCAAATGTTGTATATTCCCTTTAAGCCTCATACAGCCAGCAGCTTGACCACTGAGCAGAGACAAGTTCACATTCACTATACGTTAAATGTTCCTCCCGACCTGGAGAGTGTTTTCCTGCTTGGATTTGTCTGCTTGTCGAGGCATTATGTGAGTTTTGTCATGGAATTCTTTTATTTTATGTTATACATGTAGCCATATATTCAGTTTAGTTTCAGTGTATTATTAAGTTTTGAGAAGTTTGTTTTGTTTTAGTATTGTTCAGTGGTCTGACATGTTTTTAGTAAGTATATGAGCAGTCTTGCTGTGATTTGAACGATTTTGATTGAATTTACGATGGATCATGATCGTTGCAATTTGGGTATTTTTGAGGAAAATTGTGTTGCCACAAAAGCCCACAAGGTTGAATTATTGACTTGTTTTCTTGGTAGTCGGAATGGCTGAGTTTTGATGAAATTATTGCCTATATTTAATTATTAGGTTTGATTATTTTTGTTTTATAGTTCTAATTCTGTGGTCATATTCTGAAATCTGGTTTTAAGTAGAGATATGAATGTGTACTCTTGGTTGGTAGTTGGATGGATGTGTTTCCCCCTAGTGTGCCGTTTTTCCGGGTAACACCATATCATTTTCCAAGTTTTTGGGGTAACATTTGCATGGCCCTTGCCCAAGTTAGCAAAGATTTTACTTGGGCACAGAATAGAGCTACGTTACTGAATAGTTATAAGGGTTCAATTTTAGTAATGAAAGCACGTACAAATCAAGAGTCAATGACACAAAATTGTTATTTCGTGATGGCTGTAATGACTTCAGAATATAAGAAACACACAATTAAATCAGTGAACTAACTAGTGATTTACCTGTAATCTGGACAACACTAACTCAGGGGCGTAAATGGGGTGAAATATCTAGGGGGAAACCCAGGAACACATTTTTTTTTCAAGGGGGCTCTGAAAGTGAATGAACTGCGTCTTGCTTTTTTTTGTTTGACTGACATGATAAAGGCCTAACTGACACGTCACTAAAAAGAAAATGGGCGGGGGGCATGACCTCTGTTGCCCCCGCCCCTCCCACCCTTGCAGGATCCACCCCCTGGACGTAAATGCTATAGCTGTTTTACTTTTGGAAACAAAAAAACATAGGGAGTTCAGCTCCCTTTGTTGGCAAATATTACCAAAACAAATCACCAAAATTTGATTTTGTTGTTGTTGTGCTTTTCGGAAAAGTCCTGTTTTTTTTTTAGGAGTTGGGGACTCGCCATGGCCATTTTGAACCTACGGATACATCATAGTTGGTACTCCAGCGTTATAATTATGTCGAATTCCCGATGAGCATATGCGCTGGCTAGAGTCTAACTAAACGTTATATATTAGTTTTGTATGACTGAAACAGTGGACTGAATTTGTTCTCAATATGGACTTGGAGAAGAGCCAGTATACCTAAAATATAGCCACTCCAAGAATGAATGCATAAATGAAATTATAAAGGTAATCCTTACTGTTAGGACCCCGTTCCTATATAGAAAGGGAAAGACTCACCAATACAGTTGACTAAATGACACTCAAAACTGACATTATGATATTTCTTGGCACATCTGAACAATTGGCAATGACACCTTCTTGAATATCAGCAGGTTTAATTTTGTGGAAAGAGGGCAGGGCTTTGATTTATGAGGAAAATTCAGGGGTAAAAGACGACGATGACAACCAGAAAACAGACTCAAAAACCAAGATGGCAAACGTGAAAGCTCGATGCGATGAAAGCTCGATGCTGATTGGCTGATAAAAAATAAACATCTTATTTAATTTTTTTTAGCAGCCAATCAGCATCGGGCTTTCATTATGTAGGGCTTTCACACGTGTGAGAACTACAACATGCACGTCTGACTGCGAAAAAAAGTCACATTTTCTTTGAAAGTGCTTTCAAAATTACAACTAACATGAGTTTATATGAAGAAAAAGTCACTTTGGTACTGGACAGTCATCTGCAAAAGTCAGTTTTGAACAGAACTCGTAACAAATAGAGGTGTTCTAAAAGTAAGGATTACCATTATAAACAGCTACAAAATTCAGATTATAAACTGGAAAGAACATACTTACGGGGAAGAAATTTCACGAAAACCCGCTCAGTAGTATCATGGAGGAACATGTTTCACTGTTCCAAAGCTCGATGTGTTCTTGACATTCTTGGACTAAATTCACAGTTTTGATGCACTCGACATTTTACAACCATAATGCGGACGTAGTTGCCCAACAGGACAAAAGTGAATTTACATTGGCGAGCACGTATGAATACAGCTACATTGTTTGCCTTTAGACATGAACACCCGGCAAGCGCTCACTTCGACAGCACGGTGTAAAATTTTGTGTTCATTTTCAGATTTCAAATGGGGGGGGGGGGGGGGGGGGGCTCATGAGGGCACGGACATCCGGGGGGTGGGGGGCACCTGCCCCCCGTAGTTACGCCACTAACTTGAATCTGGAGGCTGGAGTTTCCCGGAGTCAGGCTCAGTGAACGATCCTCTACTCGATCGAGATTTACGCGGGGCAACTTCCCGCTCAATTTTCCCGCTTATTCGCTTAGACTAGACTTGAGAACAAGTCTGAGTCATATTTTGTTCAGAGCCCCGGCAATACCGGGACGTTATGAATACATGTATTTTGATTGTGGCGTACGCATACACTGTAATAAAAAAAACCAAAATGTCTGTAATTTTACAAAGAATTTTTAATAGAACTGCACTGTATTTTAATAAAATTGTGTATATTTCAAGCCAATTTGTAACACTCCTTTAGTAATACGCAGTAAAACAGAATTCTTAATATGTGGGTTGACGTTAAATTTACAGAAAATGTGATGTTTTATCAATTTAGTCATTTTTATAGATTTTCGAACAGATCTACTCTGTAATTGCTTTTTTCATCACTTTTAATCTCAAAATTAACATTATTCGCCAAATTCCGTGTTTTAACAGAATTTTGTAATATAACCGTGTCTTTTGTAAAATACATAGGAAACTGACGTATTGCTAAAATACCTTCACGTGAAATTTGAGATGATCAATGTCACAGTTCGTTTTACCTGTAACACAATCACGCGGCTGTCATCTGCGAATATTATATAGATAATATTATTTTAAAATCGGGCTTTATCGCGTTGTGAAATAGTCTTTGCATTGTACAATCCTTATAATCCCCACTGCCATGTTTGTGTGAATGTAATCAAAGGTCTTATGGCAAGTTGGCAACAAATGTTTTGCGTTAAGACCTAAACTTGCATTGTGACCCATCGTTAATAAATATGCGATATTGCAAATAAATCACTCAAATTAATCGCCCTAGCTAGGCGCCCTGCCTTACGGCCAGCACATGCATTCATATATTGATATTGAATGTAGTATGAGCTAGCCATGAGGCATGCATGACGCCTATGGAGATCAATTTGTACGATATGTTTTCCAGTGTGGACTTGTGTTTTGGTTTCAAGTTCAAGAGGCCCTTAGCGACGAATACAACGCGTATAATGCACTGTGTTTACTGTACAAAGTTGCTACACAGTACAGAAAACCAGCTGCAAGCGGCCAGCTAGCTGCGACGGCTGCATGTAGACCCAATTGTACACACGTCGTACACACGACCCACGTGAAAGTTCAACCAATTCTCCGTTAATTTCCTTGCACTGATTTGACTCACAAAAGGTCAGTATGAGTTTGAAATGTGGTCTAATAACTAAATAAAAACGAGTGAAAAGTTAATGCAAAGTTTCTGTGGAAACTTAGTGGCACAGCCAGATTCTATAATTTGTAAATATTATGTGCCTCGCGTGATGATATTAAAGCCACGCAGCTGTAAGTGGTCAAGAGAATTAAAGAGCCTTCAGTCGACGGCAAATGATGAGAGAATTAAAGCCGAGTGTGAAATTCCTGTGATCCTGGTGAACGAAATTCTGGTAAATTTCACATTTGTGTTTGACATTTGAGGGATTTCAACCCATCCTAGAGGTACCTATCCATATCAAGATAATACTTGTGAAATATTGAGGCCGAAATTTTCGTGACAGGAGAGTTTGGAGGTTTGAACAAATTGTGAATTTTCTGCTACAGCGAGTTTAATTTGTCTTTCTGTAAGGTTTGTAAAAACCTTACAGTTCGGGAAGTACCCTCTGCAATTCTGCAGACACGGGAGTTTGCGCGAGAAGCCAGACAGTAGGATTTGGTTAGGAGAGGCTAAAGGTGGTAATGGTGGGACGCCGTGCTATACAACAGGATACTTCAGTGGGAAAGGAGCAGCTCAATTCTCGATTCCACCCCAGCACATCCTAACCCCATTGAACACCAACAATGAAAACACATTTCGACTATACCATTGGCCCGTTCTTTAATCTTCTGCTTATTAGGGGACAGGTTTCCGCGCCTCAAGTCGGTGCTCCCCAAAACAGGTCTGTATTATTAACATGTTTTCTCTTAGGCCAAAAAAGAGAGAAAGTTTCTGGTATGCGCGCGCGTCGCCGTAGCCATGCGCGTCGGCAAAATGAAAAAGTTTTTTTTCAATGAAAGATGATGTCTCAAAACCGCCAAACTCACTGGTTTGACTGGAATCCTGCTGCTGCACAATTTTAACGTGTTTTTAGATTGGGTTATCGTCGAGAATAAGCTTTATGTGGCCTCCTGGAATCCCATATATTTGCACTAAGTTTAGTCGGGCACCATTTGCAGTCGTCAGCCGACATTTGAAGCAAAAAAAATCAGGTAAAAAAAAAAAAGCCGCGTCGCCGCACCACTTTTTGGGCAAGCTCCATACCAGAAACCGGAGACTTTTTTTGGGCTTTACAGGTGTATTCTACTACGGAAGCCCATTAGCGCCACTGGAAGTATATATAAGTAACTCGTCATTACGGATTAGTAATTCGTTATTACGGATTAGTAATTCGTTATTACGGATTATTTACTTCTTTATTACGAATTATATTATTTTTATTCGTTATTACGAATCAATACTCACATGCAGAGAGCACGTGATCAGTATGCACTGATAGCTTGATGGGGTTTAAATCCCCAGATTGTTATAAAGCATAGTATCATCTACCCTGATCACCGGTGCCCTGATAACAGAATGGCCAGTCTTAAGTTTCGCTAGATCAGACTATAAGGCTCTTTGGCGCCATGCAAAATGGGACTAATTTTACATTTAATCAAAATTTTGGAAACAAGAACAAAACAAGTATCAGTAGCTTGGAACTTAAAGATTGTGGAAATACTTAAGAGTGATTTTAGATCGTACTCATCATCTTTTAATAGCGGCGCGAAAAGCGCAGAGGGGGCGGGGCCACAACCCCCTCTGTGCACATGTTTGCCTCTTATTGTCGCAAAGCAAATTTTAAATCCTGTCAAGTTTCTCTGACCCCAAAATTACGTATACACCAACTTTAACCCTGTATGCCCTATTTATTGATGTTGATAAGATTTGTTATTCAAACCCCACTTTTCCACGACCCAACTCTAAAGTTTTTATATGAATTTTTTTCATGATATGAATTTAAAAATATATTCAGACCCCAAAGACGATTTTGTCAGAGCATCATTATTCTGATCTCAATTTACCTATGTTTTAATGCTGAAGCAGGCGCAACATAATAAGAGACACGTCGGACAAACATCACAACAGCTGGTGCACAAGATATTAAGAGTGCATTGCTGCTAGAAATTTGAACATATTCCACTAAAACAAATCAGGTCCACAGCTTTCTATGCAGTCGTATCATTGTTGCGGCTGGCAAAAAAAACCAAAAAAAACGAAATGGGTGTCAGAGGTAACGCCATGGTCTTTGGGTCTGAATGTTTACATGATTGTAGAATAACAGTTGCAATATCCTTCATTTGCACTACTGTGACTTTGTTCACGAAAAAATGGCGTTTTTAAATAAATGATAAATAGTTATAAGTTTTTATACAAAGTAAACTGATCCATCCCAATGTCTGATATGCTCCTCCCAGCACATCTGAATCTATTTTTATGGAAACCCAAAGATCTGTAGTACATGTATGTAGTTTCAATTCGACCAAAATAATTTGTTGCCATGGTCATTTAAAGTCGGCACTCTCGATCTTATGTGCACTCTCATGTACATTATACATGGGAAAAGTTAAAATTTCAGTCTACCTATTTTGTCAAAATAACCGCAGGACATCCGAACAACTGTCAGAGAAACTTGGCAGGATTCAAAAGTGCATTGCGACGATATAAGGAAAAATGTAAATGGAGGGTGTTGCGCTCCCGCCCCTCCGTACTCTTCGCGCGCCGCTCTTCAGTTCATTATTCTGACCTAAAATCCTATTTTCATGTTCCACAAGTGCCAAGGTACCAATACAAGCTGGTTTATTTCCTCCTCTACCGTTGTGTTGCAACGGTATGAGCAAAAAGGAAAAAGAGGAGGTGACGGCCACGCCCCCTCCGCCTCTTTCGCGCGGCTCTTAAGTTAATTAGTCTGATCTAAAATCACTTCTTAATAACTTTCACAATCTTTAAGTTCCAAGCTATCAAATGATATTATGATACTTGTTTTGATCCTGTTCTCAAAATGTGATTAGGCCTAAATGTAAGGCATGGCGTCAAAGAGCCTCGGTCTGATCAACCGAAACTTAAGACTTGCCATTCTGTGATCAGATCAGGGTCGATGAAACTATGCTTTAAGACAATCTGAGGATTTGATTAAACCCTATGGGCCTTATTCACGAGTCGGCCATATTTAATTAAAAGTGAGGTAAAATCTTAATTTTTTGGAACTATCGGAGAGACATGAAAGCAAGTTCATTTATAATAAATTCCGATCTGCTTCAATGAATAATTTAAAATTTGTAATTAAACATTCCCTAATGTTAAAGCCAATTAAACAAAAAATGGCAGTAAAATACGGCCACATTGTGCCTGCATAAATAGTCTGGCGCCATCCCATTCAACAGTTAACAATTAATAAAATACATTCAGGGAACTCGACAGAAATGGCCAACTCGTGAAGAAGGCCCATCCAGCTCTCAGTGCATTCTGATCACGTGCTCTCCGCATGTGAGTTTCAGATTTAATTTGTAATAACGAATAAATAGTTCGTAATAACGAGTTATTAATCCGTTCTAACGAATTAATCATCCGTAATTACGAATTAAATATTCCGTAATAACGAATCAATAATCCTTAATAACGAATTTAATAATTCGTAAAACAACGAATTAAACTGGCAATCTGTGATAACGAATCAGTAATCCGTAATAATCCGTAATAACGAATTAATAATCCGTAATAACGAATTACTAACATATACTTGCAGTGGCGCTAAAGGGCTTTCGTAATTCTACAGTAGGTAGGTGCATGAGAAAATATTTTATTCACGGTCGAGGAACGAGATAGGGAGTAAGTGCACCGGGTTGGTATATCTGGCATGTTCTTAATCTGGCAGTGCATCGTGGACACACCGCTGCCGACAATGTAGCGTGTTTTGGGATTCACGGTTTAACAAGGCCCAGTAAAAAAAATATTCTTGTCCCGATTTTTTTAAACAAAGGAGGAGGAGGCCCTTTCTTTTTCAAGATGGCGATTTTTCCAGTCTTTTTTGTAACTCTTTTTGTAGCTATTTTTGTGTAACGCCTTAAAACAGAATCTAAACACGTAGACATAGCTATAACTTTGCTGGAAGGGCATACAAATTAAATATATTGCAAAAGATTGATTTTTTTTTAAAAAGGAGGCGGTCGGGAAAACAATGAAACGCACAAAAAATCAGTGAACTTACTATTTATTGAACTCAGTAATCCGGAAAAAAACGAATCTAGAGCCTGGTGTCTTATAGCCTTGGCCCAAGATGTCAGTGATCGATAGCAAAGGTTGCATCGTTGTAGAGCGCCCACTGCACGTAAAAAGTTACGTGGTACAAAAGTTACTACGAGGTAAAAAAAAAGTTACTTGGTACAAAAGGTATAAAAGTTGTGTGATCCAAAAGTTACGAAGTAAAAATAATAACTGGGTACAAAAGGTATAAAAGTTGCATGGTACAAAAGCTACGAGGTAAAAAAAGCTACTAGGTACAAAAGGTATAAAAGTTGTGTGATACAAAAGTTACGAAGTAAAAATAGTAACTGGGAACAAAATGTTTAAAAGTTGCGTGGTACAAAGGTTTTGAGATAAAAAAGGTTACTGGATACAAAACATTATGAAAATTACGTGGTACAAAAGTTACGAGGTAAAAAAGGTGCAAAAGGTATGGTACAAAAGTTACGAGGTATAAATGTTACCGGGTAAACAGGTATAAAAGTTAATAGTAAAAGAATTAGATGCTATTCTCCCTGGAATGTTTTAGGAAACATCCCCCCCCCCCGGCTCTAGGTCCAAAGTAATAAAGGCATTTTGGGAACCCCTTGGAAGCTTGAAAAGTCAAACGGTAGCGTGCATGCAGATATATCTCAGCACATGTCTTCAGGGCGGGGGGGGGGGGGGAGTTCACTATTTCCCCCCCCCCCCCATTTTCCCAGACCAACAAAAGTGCCCCTATGGTGGTTCTAAATGTCCCCCGCTCGAGATGAAAACCAAAGTGCCAGATAAACGCACACATGAAAGCATTATGGATTCTAAGTAATTCTTTTGTATCAATCAATGTACTGCATTTTCGAACCAAATTTCTGTTACGGTTTAAACCTACAGCTAAATTAATCCTTCCGTCCTTGGTGGCTTTTTGAAATTGAAATTGAGAACTGAGCTCGATGACGTTTGGGGACAAAGTGGAAGTGTCATTATAGGGAGTTTGGGTGATAAAATAGCTGCGGAAACCTTTATCTCACATGATTTTTAGAACAATTGAGAACTGACGAGGACAATCAGTATATGTCCCACAAAGAGGGATTTCCGTAATTCCGTTACTTAGACTGAATTGTCATACGTACAGTTGGCTTGTTAATTATGAAGTCAAACAAGCTACACAGCACTGTCCGTCAACTCCGTTAGACGTCAATCACACATCCTAGACCAAATACCAAGACCCGCCAAGACCATGAGATTTAAGAATTACAGTGCTATAAACTTGAATTATACGTGCACCTTCCATTGGTGGCTTTTGAAAGTTATAAGTGTTTAAGTAACTGGGAAAACCCTGTTTGGATTTTAAGTAATTCTTTTGTATATGCCTCAATAAATACACCGAGTTTTCGAACCAGATTTTTGTTATGGTTTAAACCTAAAGCTAAATTAAACCTTCCTCTCGGTGGCTTTTTGAAATTGAAATTGAGAACTGAGCTCAACGATGTTCGGGTACGAAATTAAAGTTTCGTTAAAGGGAGTTTGGCTGAAAAAAAAATAGCTCGGGAAACCCATATTTCACATGTTTTGAAAACAATGAGAAACTAACGAGGAAAATCAGTATTTTTCACACAGAGGGATTTCCCTAAATCCGTTTTTAAGACTGAAATTTTCATACGTACAATTGGCTTGTTAATTATGCAGTAATTCAAGCTACACACTGTCCGTTGACTCCGTTAAGTGGGATGACGACTTCGCAATCCAAATACGTCTCCTGGGTTTTGCCCTGAGATCCTGCAATATAAAGGTTCACTTTATTTTAAACCGTTTTGTATTGTGTCATTAACTTCAATGTTTTCAAAGCTCTGAAATTTCTGACAGTTGGAAAAAAAGTCCATTCCAGCCAGTGCGCAATGTTAGTTGAAATTAAATCTGTGTTTCAGAGGGGCTAAGATGGTCTCAGGGGGATCCACATCCTCTTTTACCATATGTGTGTATAACTTGAATCGTTCTTAAAAAAAGTGATAGTTTTCTAGAGGTATTTTAGCATGTTTTAATACCTTTATTTTCTCGGTAACTCTTCTGGTTATTGTTCTCCTGCAAAGGGAGAGAGAATTGCCAAAGTCATTCAATCCGTCCAAGCTCCTTCAGTACAGTCAATATAATGTTATTCCCATCAAGGTTACAATGCTAACTTTGAAAGAAAGAATAATATGTCATGTATCTCAAACAAAACTGTTAACGTAGTCCTGCACCACAGCTACTGCCGTATTCTTAAACACATTTGTTTACAGGCCTCATTTTGGTGTGTGGACCTTTTTTATCATGCTAGTTCCGACAAAACCACTGTAAAATATTGCAGATTCTTCGTTTCTGAAAAAAGGGTGATGGTTAAATGATTCGTAATCAATTGTTATCATTATTTTATTTCTCTCCACAATAAAATGATTTAAAAATATAACATGTATAAAAACCGTTAAAACAGGAGGTGATGTGAAATGTGGAGAAGGCAATACTGAGAAGGACAATAATTTTCCTATACTAGAAGGTTCAGTCTGCCAATTAATACAACGATAACACACGAATAAAGCAATGGAGGAGGAATAAAAACCATCAAACAAATTGATTCAAAAGGATTAATGGTAAAAAACAACCAATAATATTGTAACTAAACCGCAAATATCTCATACAGAATGATTTTTTGACGTGTATAACACCATCACTGACTTTACAACAAAACAAAATTGTTACCACGTAAGTGTGCTGGGATATAAGACTGTCTAGAGATTCTAACAAATACTAGGAAATATTTTCGTACCTCGATGTCATTCTTTTGTTCAGGCATCCTCTGAAATGACAATGAAAATATATACGACAAAACTACATGTTAGTGCATAAACAATATACCATACAAAACAACTTAGCTCCTTTAATGATTTTGAGTTCCTTAGCCTGCCTTTTTTTTCATGTTATTTTAGCTTTTTCTTTACACATGTAATTGGCAGCCATCATCAACAAGATAGAGACAGAAGATCTGGAACATCATTCCTGTATCATAAATGCCTTGTTTAAACTCAAAATATGACGTCATTACCAACTTTTGTGATTCAAGGTTAAACCTAAGTTGTACTTAAAGCACTCAGACAATCGACCAACGTTTAGTGCACATATCAGGCTCATGTGCATGTTTAAACACCATTTGTGCGTATTGGCTACACAATATTTACTTTATTATTGATTAATTGAGAGCGTTCATGGATTTGAAAGAACACTATTTGGTGTGATCAGGCGCCTGCCCCAATTTACCTTGCACACAGCAATAACCAAACCAACGATGACAGCCAATGACAGGCAAAAGGCAACTGCAAGCCCAATCGCGGCATTTTGAAAGCTATCTGGAGCGTCCTTAACATCAGATTTAATGCCCAATTTAGGTATCAATGTTGCAGCTGTGGGAGGTTGAACTGATGTCACATCTGCAAATATTACTTGAAATTCATAAAAAAACACCATGGCAAATATATTCATTAATTTTAATGACTTACTTTGTGTTTGATGCTCTGTGGTAAAAAAAATGTCTTGCTCTAAAGGGTATTTTGATAGTTTTTATGAAGACATGTATTTTAATTAAAGCAAGGCGAACGATACTTGCTTGCTCATTGCTCTTGAAGTTCAAGAAACTTATTAATTCAGCATGGCATCAATTATGCAGTATTTGCGAGGGTAACAAAATACTGGGGTTTTTTTTATTTACAAAGCATTCACAGTGCATACCATTCATTTCAATGGGATTTGCTTCAGAAAAGCCATCGCACACAAAAGCGTTTTAACCAAAAATATTGATAAACAGAACAATGAATCGAAATCTCAAACAAAGGCAACAGCTACAATGCTACATGTATTTCCATGAATATTATTTCAAATCGCATCGTGCATTATAAGCACTATACATATACTGTATGTAATAGATTACAAAACAAAAGTTAAAAGTGGAAGAAAATTTTGAACGGATTGATTGTACTTGTCAGGGAGAATAAAAGGGGTAATTCAGGAAGGAAAATATAAGGGAAAATGTATTAATTTGTTTTAAGGAAAACAAATTATGTCATTTGCAGCAGTAATTTTTTGGCAGATAATGTTGGAGGAGAGGCGTGCAAAGCAGGGACAGCAGAAATTCTGCCAAACAAATTTGAAGAATTAGACGAGAACAATAAATATCCATGCTCACGTGGTTTATGAGAGGTACGATGAGCTGTGGTGACAGTCACCGTCACGTGGCTACCATTCCTGGCGCCCAGACCCTCCCCGTATGCTAGACATCTGTACTTCATGTCCACATCACTCGTAACTGGGATTGATGCTAAAGTGGTGAAGGTGTTCACAGAATACTCACCTACAATTAACACACACCAAAAAAGCAGATCTGTTATTATTTTGCTTGCTGAAGTCAAAGCCAATTGCACGAGCTTACCAGCATGATGACATATTATGTTCGTCTGGGCTTGATTTATCTTTGGAAATCAGTTAATGAGAATCATTCCCTTAAAAGCAACTCCGTGAAGTAGGACCCTAATCTTGAAATCATGCTTCCATGTAGACAAATGAAAAGACATCTTTAAGCCTGTGACCTAATTAAAATTCACCTCGTAGGCCTACATAATGATTCAATTCAAACAAATGTTACTTTCCAATATTACGGGGGGCTGGGGCAGCCTCAACCTCGTCCCCAGGGTGTCGAGCAGAACGCGCCCACCACTACCTGCTCTCTCACCCTGGTATTGGATAATTTGCATGTGCAAGATTTTTGAACACTTTTGCAAATGAGGAATATTAGTCTGAACAGCATCAATTCGTCGCGCCGTGTGTTATGAAAACACGATTTTGTTTCAAGTAAAAATTAATGTAACAATCTGGCACGCCAACATGCAGTATCACATTTCATACTATTAATGAGCAAACTTGAAAGGAGAGGAGTATTTTTGAGAAGTCGTTGACGTTAAAATAACAATGATCGTGAAAACACGTAATGCACCAATAATAAATCTATTATCAGCGAATTGCGGTATAGAGGATACAGGAAGAAAATTTCTTATCCAGGGTTTACTTTTGGAAACAAGGTTGGAAATAAAGTAAGCACTGGGGACGAGGTTGGGGCACCCTGAGATTGAGTAACTCTATACGTACTCGGATGTACGGTGAACCTGTCGCTGATGAGTTGTGTGTCGCCATCACTATACTCCAGCAGCCATCGGAGAGCCACGGCAGGCTTGGCATCCCGTACGATGCAAGCCAACCTCGGTTTCTTGATGTCGTTCGGTAACTCTGCCTCGCACATAGTCTCATAGATACGTTCAGTGCATTGAGTTACGTCGGGAAACGGATCATTGGGGGATACTACAAAACAAATAACATTTTCAACAAAATTAGGATACGAGTCTTCAAAGTGTCATCATGTCATCATAATCTTTCACAACATGGTGACCTTCCTTCATATACCAACATAGATCCATCAACCACCACTGAGATATAATATTAAACTGTTATTAACCAAAAATTATGTATACATTGTTGTGCCGTAAAAAATGTTCAACAATTTTCACTGACAGAAAGTTGCTAAGTCCTTGACAATAAGTCCTAGTCATTTATCATTCAATTTCAAAGTTCGGTCACCACATTTGAACACAGTGTCAAGAATATTTGTCATTACAGATCAAACTGCTGTTGCCGAATGCCAGCATTCAGAGATTAAATTCGTCTTATGCCCATCAATTTAAAACTGTTATTGTAAGTAAATTAGTATGGTGTGTGTTATTTACCATGTTCCTTGTGTCCGAGGGCATAAACCAGGACAAGATACAAATTATCGAATCCTTTAAACATTATGCCATGGACTACATCCAAGTGGCTGTAAATTTGGGCAATAAACGAGTAAAAAAATATAGACGACCATGTTTGTAAAATAAAGTCGATGATCCTTATTTTCCTTTGTTACATTGTACCTATAATGAGTCTATAACATTTTTTAAAGAAAATCGATTGGAAAGAAACAAGCAATACGCTTATATAATAACAGGGAAATAACAGCAAAAAAACAGCGGGGAAAATGTCCTCATCTGCGACCTTATGTCTTCTACAGAGGACGTCATAGTGAACTGTTACGAAATTGCACAAATATATCATTAAATTCTGTGGCAAAAGACGAATTTGATTTCTGAATAAGACTGTTCAGCGTATAGATGAGACGAAATCGAATATTCCTTGACGAAAATGGGTGTGAATGGATTGAATTAGATTAAACAACAATTGAAATAGTATGAGCAAAGACGAAATTAAACATTGGAAGTGCACTAAATCGATGTTGACGGACGAATAGAATATTAAAAACGGTGAATTCGAATGCTAAATGTTTTTAAATAGCTGGGAAAACCTCTATTAAAAGGGAAATCCCGAGCCAAGCACAGGCACAGCTTTTGGGTGTCGTAATTTTTCAGCCTTTTTCAGAGAATGTCTCAAACTTTGGACTTCTAAACTCCAACTGGGCTGTAGGCTTAACAAAACAAACTGATCATTTCCATACATGTTTCCGCCCGACCTATTACCAAGTCTTACAAACTGCAACATCGTTTTGTCCAGCTCATGAATAATGTAATTTACTCATCACCTTACTCACCTTTGACACGCATAGTCACGTGTCCATCAACTAACACTCTTAACCTCGGTTTGACCCTACAGTAGTAGGTCCCTTCATAACACGCACTTAAAACTAACCCCGAGCTACAACTCCCGAACCCGGCCGCACCAGAGCGTCACCGTATACTCCCGACCGGGGGATTCGCAACAGCAATGGAAGACCCTAGCAACGGCACAGCGATTTGACTCGTCCCTACCCCCAAAGCTTGGCTTCTTGCAACTTGGCATCAGCACCAGAACTAGTTCCTACTGCATTGACGCCATCTTGCGAACTCCGCTAGATGATCTCAAGACCCCACGCTATAACATGCTAATTTGCGCACAGCCTTCCCAATACGCGATGCTGATTGATCAAATGCATGCCATGAATTATTATTGTCCTGATCACGCAGCACAATTCATTTCTAATTGGTCCATGCGCACTTCAGCATTAGTAACAGGCACCAAATGCCCAAGATCATCACGCGCATAAACAATTTCTGTCTTAGACTCCTACACAAGTCTATATATACCTGTACCCCTTTTTTGCCACATATATTTACTAATCGCTAACCCACTCACCTTTGACACGCTTAGTCACCTGCCCATCAAACAGCGGTCTTAACTTCGGTTTGATCCTACAGTAGTAGGTCCCTTCGTCTGAGTCGGTGACGTTCTCAATAACCAGAGAGAAATTGTCGTTAATGTCATACACGCCCTCCGGGATGCCGTTTTGTGGAGCGATGTTCCCTAGGAAGTAGGAGATCAAGATGTTTTCATCTCGTACTAGGGGGAAGAACCAGTACATGACTTCGATCTGATCCAGCGGGATTTGTCCGGATGCGACGAGAGGACAGGACAGGATGCCAGGGTTACCTCGATCCAGGAAGATGGCTCCATCCTCGTTCTTACTTGCGTGGATGCCAGTAGCCACCACAGAAACAACTGTAATTGGGATGACGTACCAATGCATCTTATTAGAAGCTGTACATTATCAAGATCTAGAGGATCACGTTGGTGGACAATTAACGGAACAAATGTATAAAGCAAAAGAGTAATTGTTGCATATTACACTTTATTATGGTTGTTGTCATTTCCAGTACAACTCGTAAGGCATTTTTGGCAATGTAATTTCACCCCAAAAGCCCCCAATTTGATAGACCTCTTATAAGTCGCAATAATCTCTTTCTGCGCCTCCATTCGAAATAAAAATTACCTAATTCTTTTCGAAAATTGACAAAAGCTCAAAGTTTGAGTACAAAACGAAATTGGCGCATGTTCACATTCGTTCCTGACTGCAGTGCGCAATGAATGCCATTTACCTAGAACTATCCACAGGTCTGCTTTGTGTGCCTGGACTAGCATGTTGAAAAGCATCACCGCTGGAAAGAAATTATAAAAAAAAGTTAATCAGGGGTACACACTACTAGGGAAGGGAAGTATATTAACTAAAAAGGCTTGATTTATTCAGGGGGCTATTCTACTGAAAACACACACACAAAATACATTAAAAAATACAATGCAATGAAAAATACAATGCAATGAAAAATACAATGCAATGAAAAATACAATATCAGCTCGTGGCCCATACCACCTGCCGCAAGAACAGGGTCGCTACATTTGTCAAGGATCAAGGTATCACTTGGACCGTCACGGCGAGATGCTTACCGGGAAGCGATATCGAATGGCATTCTGTAGAGGTGCTGAATACTACGTATGTCAATGTCTACAAACCTCCACCTGTGGGACTCAAGATGACATCATTGACCACTTTCCCTGCCCCTTGCCCGTATGTAGGCGATTTCAACTGAAGGCACACAGACTGGGGGTACCACTCCAGCAACCGGTACGGAGAGACTCTTGCCGACTGGGTTTCAGCGAAAAACCTGTCACTCCTGTACAACCCAAAGAACCCTGACAGCTGTACATCAGGACGCTGGAATACCGGAAGTTACCCGGATCTAGCCTTCGCAAAAGTAAACCCTGGACAAGTCCTCCCAGACCGACGTGTCGTGACCGGTTTCCAAGGTCACAGCATCCGGTATCAATCGTACTTCCGGCATCACTTTTAAACCCCACCTCAAGTAAACCAGCGAGGAGGCGACCGAACACCTGACAACACTACCACGCCCGGACCACCAAGATCCTAGCCTTCAGTCAAGTCCCTCGCGTCTTTACCCAGACCATCCGGAAACGTATAAAACGCACCCCGGTTGATGGCACGTAAAAAAGACTAGCACGAGCGGCGAAGCCGTGAGGGCCTTTACAATCTCGTGGAACTAATCAACTTATTCAATTATTCACGTTCAAGCAATATAAACTTATCATCTGGCGCCATGGCGCGCGTGCTTTTTGGCGCCAGACGACGGCTGATTTACGTTAGGGCTGCATTTTCATTGGTCAATTCACAACGGGTAATGCATAATGCATGTCTACCAAATCGGTAGACAAATGTAAAGAAAAACATAAACTCCACGAGATGCTAAAGGCCCTCGCGGCTTCGCCGCTCGTGCTAGTCTGTTTACGTGTCAGCATCCGGGATGCGTCACGTGTCCGGGTAAGCGCGTGGGACTTGACTAAATGCTACCAAGATGCTGGCACTACTTACCAATCATTCTCAGCAACGTTATGATGCGCAGCAAAAAAGGAGATCCCACAAGGATATTGCAAGAACTACATTCCATGCCTGGACTAAGAATGCCAAGCCTTGTACGATCAGTTTGAAGATTCGACCGCTGCAGAAGACAGCAAGTCAGCATCTGATGCCCTGATGGACCATCTGGACCAAAAGCGTCAAGCTCGTTGTATAGAAACGGTTGAGTCTGTGGACTTTACCCACTCCAGCAGAAAGGCCTGACGCACAGTAAACCCAATGACTGGCCGAGGAAAAGCAACCTCATGCAAGTGCCCGGTCTCAGCCAACAACATTGCCTCGCAACCAGTGAAGAATGACCAGCATAACCATCGTGATAGGTCATTCCAGAAGGAATGACGAAGAGCTGTGAAAATCCCCCGGCTTCGACACAAACCTATCATCTGACTTCACACCATCTAAAGTCCGAGACGCCATCCGCCAGCGAGCAAGACAGCGGAAGTGGGAGACCGCATGGGCAACCATGCAATCACCGCTCCACAGGTTCATGGACTCGCCGTCGGACAACCCTCCTGGACTCCTCCTCAATATAGTCAGTTCGCATCAACCACCTGATGAGGTGATTCGGCCGATTTGCATCCTGCATGCATCAGTTGCAGTTGGCACCCACCTCTTTGTGAATGCGAAGAGACACAGACGGCCGACCACATAATTGAAGACCGCCCCCTGTACTCTCCTTCAAAAAGCCGAACTGGACTGGAGTCTCTAGATCCACCTTCAAGAAGATGGCTGACAAATGGTTGCCCTGATGAGCAACAACTCCAAAGAAGGAGAAGAAGAAGCCAATCGGAGTCGACTTTCTAAATGCAGTGTTTGTAATACAACAACAGCCGTGCACGTATCGCGCAACATAATACAGAGCGCGTGACACAACCTTTGTTGCTGTGTCTAGATTTTTTTTATCCATGTCTATCCGCGACAAAGGGTGAATGACTGAAGAGCTGGGTGTTTTATTTGTAGGTAGTAGGGTGGAACAAAGAGCTTCACCTGCATATTTCGAGAACAATTTCAAATCAAAAGTTGCTGAATCATGTTTTGGAATGGGCCTGAACTCCAAGTCCGAGACACGTTCCCACTGAGCCGATTGCAGCTACGCGATGTCGCGCACTGATCCGACGAATCATAGAAACCGCACTCGTGTGCGTCGTGTCAACGCTTGCGCGCGTTTCGCCGAAAGAACTACTAATCGTAAAGGACCATGGATATAGAATAAAAAGACAACAGACATTTCCAAAGGTGCGTCTAAAGACGCATCGTTGGAAAGGCTGTTTAAATCCGCCGATCATCCACACTTATATCGCACACTAGTGTATAGATACCCTCCTTACCCCCGCTGGCTACGCCTCTGTGTCCGAGCGTTGCGGACAGGCGGTAATATGTTTATTTGTTTGTGTCAAAGTAGGGCCAAGGTGGGGGGGGGGGATGGATCTCCCATGTAATTCCGATGGGAAATTTTCCCATAGAAATTCTTGATAACCCCCATGACCGTGAGGGAAACATTTGTTATTGAATTCAAATTGATAATTTAATAAGTAATTAAATTAAACAAAGGTTTGCCTAAAACTTGGGAGTGCAAGTGGGTCTATGATGGTGCATGTTCTCCATTATAACCATCGGTGTCACCGTGCTGTCTTTAAATCTCCATGGTGTTCCCATGGTCTCCATATATCACCTACATATGTTCACACTGGCGTCCAAATCCTCATGGTGTACCCATTTGCCATAACATCCCCATGATGTTCTCATGGTGTCTATAGTAAATCCCCATGGTGTTCCCATGATGTCCGTAAAAACCCGATGGTGTTCCCATTGTGTTCCCATGGAGCTCATAAAATCCCCATGGTGTTCCCATTAAACTGATATAGAATCCCAATTGTGATCCCATGGTGTCAATGCAATCTCCATGGTGTTCCCATGGGTTTCCAATGATGTGCATAAAAACTTATATGGTGTCTTTGATTGCCCCCATGGGTTTCCCATGCGTTTCCCATGGGGTCCCATGGGAATCCCATGGGAATCCCATGGGATGTCTATGTGACATTTTTGTAAGGGTGCTTATTGAATTTGAACTTAAATCAGGTTCGTACATTCTATCTGTTTACCACAGGCCCCTCTTAAGCCCCTGTCACTCATCCAACACCAAAGACCAAGACCCCGTCAATACCATGAGATTTAAACATAACTTGAAAATCGTACCAAATACGTAGGAAATCTGGCGCCAAATTCAAATTTCGTCTTCCGAGCTCCAGACTGCAGACCATGATATGATCAGAATGTGCTGCGATGTCGTCCCAAATACTACGACTCCGAAACGACCTGGAACCGAATATTACGACTTCGCTACGACTTGGATCCGTTCAATTAATTTTTTTTCACGACTGAGTCCCGATCTCGTTACGATATAACCGATACAACCGACAGAGTACCGACACAACCGACTAAGTACAGACACAAAAAACCGAGAACCGATGCCGAAACGACTCCGAAACGTAAACAATGTCGGCTTTCAGTAATTAAATCGTGCCGTGCAGCACATGTAATTTTTATTCCCAGGACGTTAGGGGGCCAAGTCATGAATAATTCAGTAGTTTTCATCTGGCCAGTATGTTGATTCAACAGAACAATGATATGAAGAGTATTGTTGTTATTTAGTCAACCAGTTACATTAAAACATTCAGAAGAATGGGCGTCGTCGAGCTACTACACTAGTGGATAGCGAGATGAGCTATGGACACAAAGATCCCTGCTTCGAATCCACGTCATCACTGATCTTTTTCATTCACTACTTTTCTTTTCTAAATTTATCATTAAGATAATATTTATTTAAGGGGAAAAAGAGATCGAGAACCTAAGTGTATTGCAATGATTCAAAGGGAAAACTAAATTATGCATGACTTGGCCCCATCTCTCCCAGGGAAAATTAAGCGTGCAGCACTCACTACGTCACAACGGGCCTCCATGTAAAAGACCGATCGAGACAGACTCAAACCATTAGTAGTCCTCTAACATCCTCTATCATTATCTGCTCCGACCCGACTAATGTTGTACAAACCCGACCCGAAACCGAAACCGCCCCGACCAGAAACCGACTTTGGTTTTCTTTGAATTGTTGTCGGGTCGGTTTCAGGTACTCCAGTTCGGTTTCGGTTTAAAATAAATGTCTCGGGGCGGTTTGGCCTCGTCAACCCAACCCGATGCACATCACTAGACCCGACCCAACCCGACCATGTGTCGGTTTTTGGTCGGGTTTGCACAACATTAATCGGGAGGCTACATCGTGACAGTGTGACAGGCACTTTAAGTCCAGAACATTGTATAATTTCAAATTTGGTATACGACCATAAATCCCTATTCATTCTTCCTCAAAAATATATATTTTTTTATTTTGCTAGAGTGTGGAATAACCAACGACTAACAACTGTGGGAAAAGTCAATAATGCACGATATTAAATAAAATCATACCTGATAATGTAGGCTGATTTTCTTGCACTCAGGAAATAGTCTGTGACGCTTGGAATAGTCACAACGACATGCACACACGAACAGCGTCAAAACGACTATCGGAATGTATAATTTTAAAAAAGAATGACCTATATGTGTACAGGTAGATCACGGTTGTTTAGCTCGAAGCGTATAAAACTGCTTACATAAATCCCGCTACGAATTTTCACAAGTATCGTTTCCGGGTGCAAACTTTTGCTATTAACATAATACAACATAACATAATACAGAGCACGTGACATAACCTTTGTTGCTGTGTCTAGATTTTTTTTAATCCATGTCTATTCGCGACAACGGGTGAATGACCAAAGAGCTGGGTGTTTTATTTGTCAACCAAATACATTGGAGCATTTTAAAGAACGGGCTTCGTCGAGCTACCACACAGTAACCTAGTGGAAAGCGAGATGAGCTATGGACACAAAGATCCCTGCTTCGAATCCACGTCGTCACTGATCTTTTTTATTGAGTACTTTTCTTCTTTAAATTGATCATTAAGATGATATTTATCTAAGGGGAAAAGAGATCGAGAACCTAAGTGTATTGCAATGATTCAATGGAAAAACTGAATTATGCATGACTTGGCCCCATCTCTTCAGGAAAAAATACGCGTGCAGCACTCACAACGTCACAACAGGCCTCCATGTAAAAGACCGATCGAGACAGACGCAAACCATTTGTAGTCCTCTAACATCCTCTATCATTATCTGCTCCGACCCGACTAATGTTGTACAAACCCGACCCGAAACCGAAAC